AGAGAGAGAGAGAGAGAGAGAGAGAGAGAGAAACCCCAGTGAGCACCGCTGTCACAACACGGGATCCGCCACACGCTCCCCCACTCAGTATCTGTGTCGTCGCCAACTACGTTTCGCCGTGCAATTACAACCGGCATTCTTTCGTGTTTTCGTCCGAACTTCCTATTTCCTGCAGATAATCCGAAGTGATTGCGGACAAATGGGGCTCTGTCGGCCGGTCCGTGGATACCGCCATATTGACCCAAGAGCTTAGCGGACTCTCATACCTCCGGATGAAAGATGGGGGCGGACCACGCTTATTGTTGGTAATTAAACAGGGGACAGATAGGCCCTCGGTACACCACCGTGCAGATATATCCGTGGGTATATCGGCTTGTACATATAAATGTTTATGTACGTACGCACGCACCCCACCATGATGCGCGCTGTAATCTAGACGGTCTAATCCTCATCCACCCCCACACGAGTTCCCACTCCTCCCTTCCCTCTGTCCTTGTATCCTTTCCCCAACTCACGTATCCTTTCTCCCCATCCTCGGATCCTCTCTTGTATCCTTTCCCCAGTCCCCATTCTTCCTCTAATCCCCGTATCCTCCCCCCACCCCAACGTATCCTTCCCCCCCCCCCCAACCCCTCTCTGGCCATGATCCAACCACGAAGCAAGCATCCCCACTCGATTCATGATACAAAGGACAGTTAAAGTAACACGCTCCGATTTTAATGTCTTCGAAGTGCCTCGCAGAGTGATCTTCCAAACGGCCTCTGTCTCGTCTTTGATTCTCTTCACTTCGGGCCTAGGGACGGGACGGGCGCTTGTGGGCGGGTGGGCGGGTGCTGGCATCTTCCGGGCGTGTGGAGGTAATGAGGAACTTACACAGACCTAGACTGTGTGTACATTACCTCCACGCGTGACTCCTCACTTCCTCACTTTCAAAAGTAAGTGCACGGTACAATACAGCGTCTTTGTGAGTGGTGTCCGTGCGTTCGTTGTCTGTGTGTGTACGTGCATGTGTGTTCCTTTGTTTGTTCGTGTGTCTAATGGGTTCTCTCTCTGTAAGCCTCTCGTCACTCCATCGCTCTCCCTCTCTGACTCCTCCTTTCCTAACCCATTTCTCCTTTCTCTTCCTCTTCCCCCTCTTCCCCCTTTTTTTAGCATTTCCTCCCTTCTTATACTTTTTTCTTTCTTTCTATAATCTATCCTTTCCCTTTTTTCTCCCACCTTCCTCAATCTCTTTCCCCCTCGCCTCTTCCCCCTCTTTCCTCTCCTCTGTCCTCCTCCTCGCTTTCTTCATCCCTCTCCCTTTTTCCACCTTCCTCCTGATCCCGTTAATCTTCTCCCCCTCTTTCCCTTTTCCACTTCCCTTAGTTGACACCCCCCCTCTTTTTCCCGTTTCCTCCTCCCTTCTTCGACGCCCCCCTCTCCCCCCCTTTCCTCCTACCTTTCTAAAGAGTACACAAATCCCCTCTTTAGCGCACCTCCCCGCCTTCCCCTCACATCGGGTTCGCTTCCTGGCGCTTTATGATCGCCGCCCCGCCATCACAATCTTTATATAGCCTTCAGGTCCGCGTCGCAACACTCTACAGCTGTGCTAATAACATCGTAAAACGTTCCTCTGCATAAAAAATGCGAACGCCGATAAACAAGCTAAACCAATTTATATCCACTCCACCTCTACTTCCCTCTTTCGTGTCTCGTCCCCTCCCCCTCTTTTCCCTCAGCCCTCTTCCCTCTTCCTCTTTCCCTCTCTTCTCTCTCGCTTCCTTTCGCTACTTTGCGGTCTTCTCTCGCCTCCTCTTCAGCCCGAAGCCAACCCGTCCTCCGTCAGAAATAAACGTGATTTTTATCTCTTTTCCAGGGATCGCTTTTTTCTCGCCCACGCCGCCCATTTAAGTGTCCATCACGAGGCACAGGTGACAGGGTGGGCGAGGGACATGGGGTTGGGATGAACGAAGCACAGGTAGTGGGGGTGACAGCCCTCTTCCGTTTCTGAGACAATATTCATGGTCAATTTAGTTGTGTCTTTCTACAACCGAATTTATTCTTTGTTCATCCTATGCCTTAACATTTCTTCTCTTTCTCCCCTTCTAATCATAACAGATAATTATCATCCTTATCAGTATCTCTGAGTATCATAATAACCATGTTCATACTCATTATATCTTATTGTTAATCTTAACATCATGATCATCCTTATCAAGCTTGATACCATAATCATTAATATCATTATTACCATTCCAATCATTATCACCACCATATCAATATCAACATCCCATTGCCATCGTGATTATCACAATTATCAACATTAATCACATCATCATAATCATCACCAACAGCATTTTTACCAACGCCACTATCATCGCGTCTCCGCTGTCACCTCGCCATCCACTCGATCCCACGCGCAAAAGAAAGAAAGAAAAAACAAGAAGGAGAAGAAGAAGAAAAAGAAAGAAAAAAAAGAGGAAGAAAGGCAGAAAGAAAGAAAGAAAGAAAGAAAGAAAGAAGAAGAGGAAGAAGAAAGACAGAGAGAAAGAAAGAAAGAAAGAAAAGATTTCACGGCCGTCCCGCAATTTCAACGCACGTCTGCAAAATGTGAAAGGACTTCGAGCTCCGTCGGGTAACGCACGCACGCTTGGGCGGCCGCAGATCGCATTCGTTATAGGTTTGATTAAAATCCGGTTATTGCAAATCGGAGAGGTGGATCGCTGGGGGGGGGGGGGCTATTTATGGAGATGTTACCTGGAGAGCGCTGGTCTATCTATCTATCTATATATATATACATCTGTGTGTGTGTGAGTGTGTATGTTGTTTGTGTGTGGGGGGGGGGGGGGCTATGGAGATTTACCTGGACGCGATCGGTGGATTTGGGTGAGGTGTGGAGATGGCCAAAAGCACACTATCCGTCTATCTATATTTATATAGACCTATCTATAACTATGTATCAGGGAGGGTTATTTATCAATCAATCAATCAATCTATCTATCTATCTATCTATATATACATCTGTGTGTGTGTGAGTGTGTATGTGTTTGTGTGTGTGTGTGTGTGTGTGTGAGTGTGTATGTGTATGTGTTTGTGTGTGTGTGTGTGTGTGTGTGTGTTTAAGTGTGTGTATGTGTGCGTGCGAAGTCTCACACACACACACACACACACACACACACACACACACACACACACACACACACACACACACACACACACACACACACACACACATAAATGTATATATATGTATGTATGCAAATGAAATCATCCAGTTCCAACACTTTATCCAACCTACAAGCATACAGAGGCATATACATTTACCTACGCGAGTGCGCCGTTCAGTGGCACTCCCTCTAGCGCCGCGGGAAGGGAGTGCCATCCCCTCACTCATAAAGGCCAGACACAGCGATGATGGCCAGGTACTAGGCGAGGCATTGGGTGTGTGTGTGTGGGGGGGGGGGAGAGGGTGCAGGGAAGGGGCCGCAGAAGTAAGGATATGCAAAGGGTGGACGTACGGACGGTGTAACGCGACAGGAGGCTGGATATTATTTTTTTTCTCTCTCACTCTCTATCTCTCGTTCTCTCTTTCTGGGAAGTTAGGCCGTAATGACAGGCGGATGCCGAGTGATCTCCACGGCCTTGGGATGGGTCTACCTGGGCAGGTGTTCGTTTAGGAGAGAAAAAAAAGCAGAGAAAATGCAATATTCATCAGCTACCCAAGTATGTACGTAGTAGGCGGTCGATGGTTCCCAAAGCGGCCGCCAGAGGGCAACTTGCGGTATTGGTATTCGGGGGAGGAGGAGGAAGGTCAGCCTACGTAATATGGTAGTCGAGGTCACCATAATCAGACGTGATAAAATGTAGGCTTCGGTTAGGTTAAGATGGGTTAAGGGGAGCAACGAGCAGCGCCCCCGGCGGAAATCGGCGCGCAAAGAGTAAACAAGCTCAGTCCTAATTTCCATTCGATTTATAGTCGATTTATTGTTAGTTAGCTTTCGAGAAAAGGTCAGATCGTGAGCTATAGCCTTACACCTGTTGCGGGCGGCAGGCGTCAGATGGGCGGGGGCGGCGGTAACGGAGTCAACTCATAAACAAGGGAAATTTATGGCTCCTGCACGATTTTACACACAAAAAATATTCCGGAATCAGGACATCCTGAGTAATGAAGTTAGCAACGTTATTGTTCTCGGTTGTATGGGAAGGAGGAGACCCGGAACTTAAAACTCCTTGGCTCTCGTAGGATTTTCTTTTTTATCTGTGAAAGTCTTTTCTTTCGGATAAATGTTACTAATACTTTCAAAATATAATTCGCATATAACTTTCCGAAATATAAGAATACACCTTTCTACAAATATAATGATATACTGTATATATTCATCCCATGATTTCCAATTATTCTTACCCATGATTTTAAAGCTAACGTCAGATCGAATCATTGTGGGTTAAGATGCGTGGGAGGACACGGTCGGCGACCCCAGCATTATCACCTAATATAGCGTAAGTTCGGTGGTCGGAGAAGTGTAAAAGATATAAGGGGGGGAGGGGTCCATCCTAACAGTTAGGCCTACAAAACCACTTCGGAGAAATCTATCTTCTCTTCGTAAGTAAGCGTGTCAACTATGGTTATGGAAATGAACTGACTTGTGCTATCTCTCACATAACGCCAACCTTGAATAATGTGTTTACTAATATCCGAAACACGAGCGTGCGCCCCCCGAGGCTCGAGACCAGGTTGTTTTGGCTGAGAGACTTACCTTGGGGGCGTCACGAGCGCTGCGACCAAGTTCCACCGGACGCGACTCGGGAGCGAGAAGGGAACATCACGGCTTCACAATATCCGCAGGAAATGCATATCTCGGCGGATGGGTAACCAACGGCATCATATGTCTATAGGATTTGGAGGGGGGGGGACACACTGCTCTCTCCTAGATATGTTTACCGAGGATTCCCGTGAGTATTCTCCTAATAAAGATCATGTAAGATTTGGGAGAGAAAGGACAGCGTTCAAGGATGTTTAC